CAATACAATCATAATCACACACAACAATGAGATATTTGAACAAATACATAGAACATATAGAATTTGTTCTATTTCTTCTATTGATCCCACATAATAGGGAACACGAAGTAGAAGGAATTCTTTGTATTTTATTTTTTAGATTATTTATGTCTATTGTTGTGTTTTATATGACTGTGAATGTGTCTGTAAAGGAAATGTCTTTCACTGTATCCTCTAATAACGAGATAATATATTTTTTTTTATAACTCTAATTCTTTATTAAGATTTTCAGGCAATACATCAACAAAAAAAAGAGAGAGAGAACAGTTCGACATAACAAATAAGCATAATACCGCAATTTTCTTGGTCACAAATGCAAATAGGGATAAGTTTGAAGGCTGGCCGAAGGCTAGCCTGGATTTGTGGGAGGAGCCTGTGCCTTTAAAGTCGGCACGGCTCACAGGGGATTCACGTCGGCGGGTCACGAACGTCCCCACCCGCCCATTCCCCTTGCTTTCATTCATTTAATTCATTTCATTTACATTCAGAGTATGCCCCCTTTTAGGCATAAACGACACTCGTAAGCATCAAGAGGTATTAAATAATGAACAACTGAGAATAGATCTGTAAGTTGGGACACCATAGAGGGGCGTAACGCGACTGGGTGAGAATATAACGGGTAAAACAACATTGATTGCCTTAAAGGAAACTATGGGGTTAAGGCTTTTCCTCATAGTTCTCTTTAGGGTAACGGGAGGACACAAACTAGCGTCCTCACGTCACCCTAGGCTCAGTATATAGGGAGCTACAGCTCACGGTATACTAAGACGCCGCAGCTGAAGCGGATCCCGACAATTATGTCTGGATCCGCCCAGCTGCGTGACTGACAGCTGGCTCTGCCACTGAGCTTTGGGTGACGGGAGGACGCTAGTTTGTGTGCTCCTGTGAGCCTTAGGAGAACTATGGGGAAAAGCACTGACCCCATAGTTCTCCTTTAACAAAGAGTGGAAGGGGGTTAAAGATGGAAGGCTTGGAGTCAACATGGTTTAGAGATAATATTTTGATACATTTGTTTTCATTCAGAGTCATTGTATCACATTCTGACAGATCTATTGAGTTACAACACACAGTATATTGAATATATTTAGACGCCTTTTATTTCCTATATAATAACCATAGAGCTGTTAAACACACAAAAACACTACACATGTCCTACAGCTACCTCCTGCAGAGACATATGCATAGTAGATTGAACTCTAGAGAGACTTGACTGCTTTCCAATGACTTCTCACCGCCAGCCATGGCAACGATCCTATAAACCACTTCGGGTTACAAAGCTCGAAGCTCACGTTTCATTGTTTGGCTGAGGCTATGAGGTTAAATCTCCGAACGGTTTCTTGTATGTCTTCTGTTGGCGAGATCTCTGCACAATCTCTGTGGCCAGATTGAGGAGTTCCCATCTTTCCGGATGGATTTCCAATCATTTTCCAATCAGAAATACTTTATAGTGGTACGCAGGGCTGGATTTACTCTCTGTGCTGCCCAAATCCCAGGTTCCTCAATGCGCCCCCCTGTATGCAGGGCATCGCCGAGATCAACTGTACAAAACAAGCTGCGCCTTCCCCGCTGTACATTGAGCTCTGCTTGCCCAAAGCCGGGCTAAATGTAGAAAACAACTACCCACCTGGCGCCCGGAACTGCATGTCCCGGGCGTTGGGAGATAGGAATTCCACACCCCTGCTGCCCCTCTGCTGCCCCTCTACTCCCTGCTGCTCGGGGCAGCAGGGAGTAGGGGGGCAGCAGGGGTATGGAATTCCTCCGGGCCTGTTGGTACCTAAAGGTTTTTCTAATGATCTGCACACTGGAATGGAATGATTGGTATAAATTAGGGATGCACGGATACCGAGTATTTGGGTACTCGTACTCGCCCAAATGCTACGATACCTAGCACGAGTACTTCCTGTATCAGAAAGCCAGGCAGCGCATCATTACACGCTGCCCGGTTTCCTGATTGGCCAGGAAACGGCTCCATGCTCTCTCGTCACTTGTGATGAGAGAGCATGGAGCCGACTTCCCGGCCAATTAGGAAGCTAGGTAGCGTGTAATGACGCAGCGCCCGGCATTCTGATTGGCCTGGAAGCCGGCGTCAGGCTCCCTCGTCATCTCATGAATCATAATATTAAAAAAGTGACCTTAAAGCATTAGTTTGTATTGCTTTAGAAAAAAATGTGACCTGTCCCTTTAAGAAAAAGTATCGGTAATTGGTATCTGCGAGTACTTGATCAAAAGTATTGGTACTCGGTCTTAAAAAAGTGGTATCGGTGCATCCCTAGTATAAATGCCCCTCCATGTGCTGTGCATGATGTTATTGTAAGTGCCATACCTGGCCCCAGACGTAGAGGGCGTCATCCTCCTCGCTCCTCCGGGGCGTGGCTACCTTCCCATGGCTCTGTTTGTTGCTCTGAGATGAGTGGTCGGTCTTTGGTGTCCACGTCGTCCGGTTGTTCCTCAGTTTTGTTAAGTTTGATTCCAGCAGGCGTCGCTGGAGGATATTATGTGGTTGCTGGAAGAAGAAATAAAGATACATTCAGCTCCAGAATGGCCAAATATTTCCCCTTCCCTTATCCTTGTCACGTGTCCTGTTCCTCATCTCTTTATGTGCATAAGAGGGTCACCACATCATGTAAACACTTCCCAGCCAGGAATTTCATACAAATCTTTGTATATGTGCAGCAATTGTGGTCCTCAGAAAAGTAACAGATCGTCTGGCCCGATCAACAGGTAGTAAATATATATATTATATTGGGCTCCCGATGGACAGTTGGATAAATGGCTCTATATTTAGGATGTATCCGGTCTATAAATGGCGGCTCTGGAGGGCCAGTTGGATAAATGGCTCTATATTTAGGGTGTATCCGGTCTATAAATGGCGGCTCCGGATGGACAGTTGGATAAATGGCTCTATATTTAGGGTGTATCCGGTCTATAAATGGCGGCTCCGGATGGACAGTTGGATAAATGGCTCTATATTTAGGGTGTATCCGGTCTATAAATGGCGGCTCCGGATGGACAGTTGGATAAATGGCTCTATATTTAGGGTGTATCCGGTCTATAAATGGCGGCTCCGGATGGACAGTTGGATAAATGGCTCTATATTTAGGGTGTATCCGGTCTATAAATGGCGGCTCCGGATGGACAGTTGGATAAATGGCTCTATATTTAGGGTGTATCCGGTCTATAAATGGCGGCTCCGGATGGACAGTTGGATAAATGGCTCTATATTTAGGGTGTATCCGGTCTATAAATGGCGGCTCCGGATGGACAGTTGGATAAATGGCTCTATATTTAGGGTGTATCCGGTCTATAAATGGCGGCTCCGGATGGACAGTTGGATAAATGGCTCTATATTTAGGGTGTATCCGGTCTATAAATGGCGGCTCCGGATGGACAGTTGGATAAATGGCTCTATATTTAGGGTGTATCCGGTCTATAAATGGCGGCTCCGGATGGACAGTTGGATAAATGGCTCTATATTTAGGGTGTATCCGGTCTATAAATGGCGGCTCCGGATGGACAGTTGGATAAATGGCTCTATATTTAGGGTGTATCCGGTCTATAAATGGCGGCTCCGGATGGACAGTTGGATAAATGGCTCTATATTTAGGGTGTATCCGGTCTATAAATGGCGGCTCCGGATGGACAGTTGGATAAATGGCTCTATATTTAGGGTGTATCCGGTCTATAAATGGCGGCTCCGGATGGACAGTTGGATAAATGGCTCTATATTTAGGGTGTATCCGGTCTATAAATGGCGGCTCCGGATGGACAGTTGGATAAATGGCTCTATATTTAGGGTGTATCCGGTCTATAAATGGCGGCTCCGGATGGACAGTTGGATAAATGGCTCTATATTTAGGGTGTATCCGGTCTATAAATGGCGGCTCCGGATGGACAGTTGGATAAATGGCTCTATATTTAGGGTGTATCCGGTCTATAAATGGCGGCTCCGGATGGACAGTTGGATAAATGGCTCTATATTTAGGGTGTATCCGGTCTATAAATGGCGGCTCCGGATGGACAGTTGGATAAATGGCTCTATATTTAGGGTGTATCCGGTCTATAAATGGCGGCTCCGGATGGACAGTTGGATAAATGGCTCTATATTTAGGGTGTATCCGGTCTATAAATGGCGGCTCCGGATGGACAGTTGGATAAATGGCTCTATATTTAGGGTGTATCCGGTCTATAAATGGCGGCTCCGGATGGACAGTTGGATAAATGGCTCTATATTTAGGGTGTATCCGGTCTATAAATGGCGGCTCCGGATGGACAGTTGGATAAATGGCTCTATATTTAGGGTGTATCCGGTCTATAAATGGCGGCTCCGGATGGACAGTTGGATAAATGGCTCTATATTTAGGGTGTATCCGGTCTATAAATGGCGGCTCCGGATGGACAGTTGGATAAATGGCTCTATATTTAGGGTGTATCCGGTCTATAAATGGCGGCTCCGGATGGACAGTTGGATAAATGGCTCTATATTTAGGGTGTATCCGGTCTATAAATGGCGGCTCCGGATGGACAGTTGGATAAATGGCTCTATATTTAGGGTGTATCCGGTCTATAAATGGCGGCTCCGGATGGACAGTTGGATAAATGGCTCTATATTTAGGGTGTATCCGGTCTATAAATGGCGGCTCCGGATGGACAGTTGGATAAATGGCTCTATATTTAGGGTGTATCCGGTCTATAAATGGCGGCTCCGGATGGACAGTTGGATAAATGGCTCTATATTTAGGGTGTATCCGGTCTATAAATGGCGGCTCCGGATGGACAGTTGGATAAATGGCTCTATATTTAGGGTGTATCCGGTCTATAAATGGCGGCTCCGGATGGACAGTTGGATAAATGGCTCTATATTTAGGGTGTATCCGGTCTATAAATGGCGGCTCCGGATGGACAGTTGGATAAATGGCTCTATATTTAGGGTGTATCCGGTCTATAAATGGCGGCTCCGGATGGACAGTTGGATAAATGGCTCTATATTTAGGGTGTATCCGGTCTATAAATGGCGGCTCCGGATGGACAGTTGGATAAATGGCTCTATATTTAGGGTGTATCCGGTCTATAAATGGCGGCTCCGGATGGACAGTTGGATAAATGGCTCTATATTTAGGGTGTATCCGGTCTATAAATGGCGGCTCCGGATGGACAGTTGGATAAATGGCTCTATATTTAGGGTGTATCCGGTCTATAAATGGCGGCTCCGGATGGACAGTTGGATAAATGGCTCTATATTTAGGGTGTATCCGGTCTATAAATGGCGGCTCCGGATGGACAGTTGGATAAATGGCTCTATATTTAGGGTGTATCCGGTCTATAAATGGCGGCTCCGGATGGACAGTTGGATAAATGGCTCTATATTTAGGGTGTATCCGGTCTATAAATGGCGGCTCCGGATGGACAGTTGGATAAATGGCTCTATATTTAGGGTGTATCCGGTCTATAAATGGCGGCTCCGGATGGACAGTTGGATAAATGGCTCTATATTTAGGGTGTATCCGGTCTATAAATGGCGGCTCCGGATGGACAGTTGGATAAATGGCTCTATATTTAGGGTGTATCCGGTCTATAAATGGCGGCTCCGGATGGACAGTTGGATAAATGGCTCTATATTTAGGGTGTATCCGGTCTATAAATGGCGGCTCCGGATGGACAGTTGGATAAATGGCTCTATATTTAGGGTGTATCCGGTCTATAAATGGCGGCTCCGGATGGACAGTTGGATAAATGGCTCTATATTTAGGGTGTATCCGGTCTATAAATGGCGGCTCTGGGTGGACTGGCTCCACCCTCTGTGGTGAATTGAGGAACAATCTGATTTTCAGGTATGTAGAAGAAGTTACAATATATAAGAGGAGAAATTTCTGGTTTATTGTTTTAAGATTTCTCATGTTGCTGTGAAGGTCGTTAACGCTCGTCTCCTTCACCTGCTATAAAGTGAAGGAAAAGGCACTAAAGGTAATTAAAATGGAACATTTGCGGTGTTGGCGATCGGCTCTCAGCGCGGTTCTCCTGCAGAAAGGTCAGCAGATCACAGAGAAGAATTTTCTCTTCTCCTTTGGAGATCTGCCAGTATGAATCAGCATTTCCCATCCCCCGAGAGGGACGGCAGATTTCACGTCAAGCATGAAAGTGACTGGGTGTCGTATGTGATTAAGCTGCAGAACTGCGCTGACTTACTCACTGGCACGCTGCTAACGCCCGCCTACGCCATGAAATATGTGATTGGAATAAGGGGGCCTCCTTTATATAAACTGATTTAGTGTATGTAAATGAACGTCTTTTATTTGCTCCATTGTCTGTTAGCTGTGACACGGGGAGTGTTTTGATATGTACAGTGTGTTTGACTAAAAAAAAAGAAATTCTGATCCTGACAGAAATCCAGTGCTGTCCTGTGTCATTTGCACTCTGCAATGTTATCTCATGCAGTCGTCTGTGCAGACTACAGAACACATCCCCTCTACGGTATAGAAATAAGAAGGGGAAGGTGTTCTGTAGTCACGTCTAAGGGTGACAACGCTGCTTCTCCATGCATACAGGATGGTGAGTGAGAGTTGTCACCCTAGGACGGGAAGTGTGTTACTGGCAGGTTCGCCGCTAATGCAACAATCACACAAAATTGGTTAGCTCAGTGGCGTCACAAGCGGGGTGAGGGGGGTGCGGCCCGCCCCCGGGTGACACCAATGGAGGGGTGACACCAAAATGACTGACAGTCATTTTGGTGTCACCCCCCTCTGAGAAGTCGGGCACTTGGTCGTGGACCATGCGCATAACAATTTCGGGAGAGAGGAGGGGACCCGGTGGCATACCTTATCCCGCCGGGTGACTGTCCCCCTCCTCTCTCTGCTGGCTCCATCACCAAGATGGCCGCCGGCAGGTATCAATAAGTTCACCGTGCACGCGCGATGACGTCATCGTGCATGTGCGGTGATGTCACGACGGGGTGTCACCCAGTAGCTGCTCCGGGTGACACCCGGCCTCAGGACACCCCTGGGTTAGCTGCAATGTACTGCATGACATTTTTGGTCCTGGGGTTAGGATACACTTTTAAAGGTCAGTCTATAGGTTCACACGAGATTCACGCAACTTTCAACCAGATTCTACTTGCACTTGGTTGGAAAGATGTATAAATCCCGGGTGAAACTTGTGTGAACACAGTATGTTGCCTGTTTCATCCAATGACATTGAACCTCATCTTCCCAATGAGTGAACGCTAACACCTGATTGGTTAGGGCTGTCACATGGCTACAAGTGAGCTGAAGATTTTTGTGTTTCAGGAGAACAAAAACTGTGTCACTGATCCTCGGAGGAAGCAGACGATGTGACAATCACACTACATAGGTATCCAAATACAAACGCTACCAATCCGCCGTGCCAACAACTATAGGGCCCGGGGCCCTATGAGGGATCTCCGATAGGTTACTGACTGGCGATCAGCTGTGCATGGGAAAATATTTCACCTTTCACAACTTCCTTATTCCCGCCGTCTGTAACCTTCAT